TCAATGGTTGGATACTTTAGCAAAGTTTGGAGCGTTTGACTGGAAGGACAAACTAATACGTAAAGATTGATCAAACCATTAATTGGGTTAAAGGAAGAAAAACGTGAAAGTAAGAAAGTTGGAATTATGGTTGAATTAAATATTTAAGGTATTCCAACATTAGTATCAACATGACATTTTACCTTCCATAAAGAGTATGAGCCATAAATTCACGTACATTCTTAAGATTATGGATAGGAGAATTTAGTAAAGTTGAAGTAGATCAAGCCATAACACATGAGCTACTAAGCTAGGATCTTCACGCTCTTTAGAATTTTTAGAGAATCCATTAGCTCTTATCAGGAAAGAATTGACCCACACTGCAATGTATTGAACATCATAAACTTATCAAAATAGGGATTAAAGAAACACATGCATTCATGTAGAAACAAAGGTTGTCTCAAGCATATGAACCAAGAGGTCAAGAGCTAAAGGTTTTCTCTGAGTTCGACATGGATGTGTGAGTCGCCATTGGGCTCACTAATTCCCCATAGCATAAGTAATTCCCATGAATTAGATATTCAAGGAGATTTCCATACTTATTTTATAATAGTGATCATATCGATTATAGGAGGCTAATCATAGACAAAAAAGAACAACAAGATGAACTCTTAAACTAACTTGATATCTCTATAAAGTGAGTGTTATACCAAGCTCTCAGACTATGAGTCTTGGTTGAACAAAATATTTTCTTAGACACTAAATGCTATAGAAACATGGTCTAATGAGCCCTTTTATTTAAATGAGGAATAGTTTGTACTTGGTCTATACTTGTTCAGAGACATAAAATTGTAAGTTCTCTCACACAACTTGCACTTACAATCAATATGATCAAATGTTCAGAGACATGGTCTAATAGTTTGTACTTGGTCTAGATTTTATTTAAATGAGGAATAGTTTGGTATTGTAGAAAGTTTGTTCAAATGTTTCGAGTTTGACTTATTAAATTCATTCAAGCACAACTTGCACTTACAACGAAGCTCTGAGAACAACTTTCTGAACTTAAGGAATTGGTTGGCCTCAACCTTAGTATATAGTTGTGTTAGAAGATATATGAAGGTTAGTAAATTTTAATGATATTTTGGAGAGATAACTAGTTAAAATACTAAGATAATCTCAAAAGGTTAGTATCATACCTCATTTTTTATCAAAGGAACATGAGATTATTAGTCTCATCCTTAATCTGGATTTTGCACTAAATTACGTATGCACAATGAGTGAATCCCAGATTGGTTAAGTTCAAAACCACTTGTTAGTGAATCTAAGGAGTACCAAAAGGTTGAACGGCTTGATAGGTCATACACAGAATTCCTTCTAGGGTTACCTAAGATAACGAAAGGCCGCACCAACATTCAAGTAGGGGTAGATGGTTGTACTCACAAGTTTACACAGGTTACTTTGGGTAAAATCTCAATCTTAAGGACAATAGGTGTGACTGTGTGATGTGAATATTAACAGTAGCAAGACCTGGTCCACTATCCAGTTGGAATTTCAAGTTAGATCTTATGAAAATTGTTTACCGCCACAGATATTAGACAACTATTGGTGTAATACTATTGAAATTTTCTATTAAGACAATAAAGGCACTAGTGTGCTAGGACCAGGTAAGCATACATGAATTATGGACAAAAGTTAGTCCAAGTCACTGATAAAACCGAAAAGATTAAGGTAAGAATGTGCACGGCTTAAAGTAGACAGAAGACTTAGGCTGGCTGAAGTAGAAACTTGGAGTTTGAGGTAGGCAACGATTATTCTTGAATGTGTTCCCGATGAAAGGCCTCTTAAGGGTCGGATGAAAGGGCAAGTTGAGCCCATACTTCATCAGACCCTTCGACATTCTAGATTGGATCACATCGTTGCATACAAATTAGTTCTATCATCATCCCTCTCTCTAGTGCATAATTTGTTCCACGTACCATGCTTCGCAAAAACATGAATAGCCCAAACTCATGTGGTAGATTACGAGTCCTTATAGATAGACAAGGGCTTAAGTTGCGATGAAAGATCAATAAGAATTTTAGCCTAGGAAGTGAAGGTCATATGTACCACGAAAATGGTTTTTGTGCTATAACAAAACTATCAAGCTGGAGAAGCTACATCGGAATAGGAGGAAGAGATGAATGATAAATACTCTGACTAATTCTAAGATACACTTTTAAGGATGAAAGTTCCTTTTAGATATGTATGATGTAATAAAAAAAACAAAAAAAAAAAAAACAGAAAAGAAAAGAAAAGAAGGGTTGTCTCATATCTATTAGGTTGAGAAAGTGAGGACTTGACTCTATTATCAAAGGGAGATCCCTTTGCTTACTAAGTTACAACAATTGCATCTTTTCATCCCATTTAGACTGTTCTGAGCAAGTCGGAGAATACATATTTTGACGACTCCAGGTCAGTTTCTCGACTAATCTAGCTTGGGTCTGATACACTCGGACCATTTCCTACTTGTTTCAACTCTTTGGAAGCTTTTCAGGTTAGTATGACTATCTTTTACCTAGTTTAAATTATTTGGAGTTAAACTTAAATTATTTTATGCAAAATTATGTGAGCCAGTTTCCGTAGTATAATTCTAATTTATGATTTTGGAACTCTTTAGGTAAAATTAAATTTTAGAAAGGAGCGTTAAGCTAGCATCAAGGGATGGTAGTAGCTTCAGCCTACGCAAAACAAGTAAGTGGCTTCACTATCGGTTTGGTTGGAAGAATTGTTTTATGTATGATGACACGTGCCTAGTGACCCCTACACGTGTCATATGTGTGATATGCTTTGATATGCGATGTTATGTTGTGTTACGCTATGTGATATGCCTAATAATACTATGATATAAACGAAATGTCATGTTATGTAATGATAAGCTATATTATGTTATGGCATGTCATGATACGCTACGATATGTTGTGTTATGCTATGATATGTTATGATAGGCCATGTGATTAACAATAAGAAAATCTATGATGTACAACCTCCCTTTGCCATATCATAGAAGCTATATTATGTAGGAATGATGTATAAGAATTATTACGCATAATTATCGAATTTAATAAGTTATGAAAGAATGGATGTTGTCTTGCATTATTTATTATGCCATGAAGGATAATATGGGGACATCATCCATAACTGCGTGTTCACATGCAACAGGATACTTTCCATTATGATGAGTACGGATGCGTACACTATGAGACTGATTATGACCATCATATTCACCATAATGATACCGATGACCACTATTTCCTCCAGGTGTTCGACAACAGCCTGTCAGTGAATGCTAACCCGACAAGCAGGCCTAGGTTTGTGCGAGTCCATCCGGTGGGTCCACATTTGCACATGTGGGTCGTGTGTGGAAAAGTACTCCACATTTAATTTAGTCTGGACTGAAAATCTACCTAAGAGAATGAAACGATGTTTTAAATGATATGTCCCACCATATTGCATGTGACACCATTTTAGGACCCCAATAGTGGGGTTACTTAACTTTTCTTAAAATACTCAAGTCATGTGTTATTCTCACATTTCAGGTAAAGGTAAGACACCCTTGTACGAATGACGACAACGTAGTAACGAAAGCTATGGAATCAGTGTTAGAATAGTTGCATTTATGTTTGTTTTTTTTAGCTCTTAGATTAGATCACGACATTATATTATTCTTCTCTTTATTTAATTTAAATTTTCTTTGTTTTGCTTTAACAATTTTATATTCTAACGGTTTAAGTCCATCACATCTTATGAACTATTTTAAATAAAATATTTCTCACTTTACCGTCATGCATATTGTAACGACTCTATTTCAATAGAAAAATTTATAAAACTCTAATATGTTTAGACAATATTCTAATATTGGAAAATATTTTAATTATATCAAGGGAAAACATTCTAATTCAATTTTTAAATATTGGAAAATATAAACTAATTAGAAAATAATAGAATCCAATTAAGATAGGAAATATCTACAATACTCTTTAATTAATTATTAATTAATACATTAATGTTTGTTTCTAAACTTATTAAAAATTAATTCACTTAGTCTTAAAATTCTACTGTTTTAAACCCTTTAATATAATTTTCAAATTGTTTTCCAAATATAACAATTATATTCAAATATAAAAATATAAGCTAATTAAAAAATATTGAAGGCGTCCTTATAAAATGTAAATATTATATTTATATTAAAAAATAATAATTAGAATGCTTGAAATCTAGGGTGGGATTTTAATTTAAATAACTAATTAATTTAAAACATAGCTAACGTGCATAATTAAATTAAAAACAAAACAAAATTGATGTATATTAGAAATTAAAAATAAATTAAATTTTAATAATTTAAATACAAGACATAAGTCCGTTCTCAAGATTTCTATTTTTGGAACCATTACTCCTAATCAGTTTCTACGCCTTCCAAAAGTGTATTCATAGAGAACCACCGAGAGAAATAATCCCAAAAGTGTATTCCTCATTTCTCAATTTTAACCCCTTCCACACGGTTTTTTATAAAATATTTTATAGTTCTATACAATAGAGGCAATAAGAAATTTGTGGAAGAAAATTTGAGGTAATTCGAGTATCGAAAGCTAAAAAAATGGAGGTCCCGAACGTCGACAACGTAGCCACCTTAAACTTTTCTTAATAAATAATTGTAGAAATCGCTTTGATTTCTTTATGAACATTAAACCAAGTATGAATAATTAAGGATATACGAAAGAAAAACTCAAAGAACCGTGAGTTAAGGCCCTGAACCGACCAAATTTTATGAGATTTAAGTAACATTAAAATGATCCACTAAATGAACTCCGCAATAAGTAGGCTACCGAGTCTTTGTACTCATTCCATGTAACGCCGAAATAAAGAAAAAAAGTAAAATAAATAAATAAATAAATAGGCCCAAGCCCATGGAGGGGCAAATGTGTCATTTTGCCCCTCCACCTACAACACGGGTCCAAGTGGAACCCTAGAGGCCACCAAAAAACAAAGGGAAGACTAGGAGAGGGTTTGGGAGAATTGAGGAGCCGCCGTCGAGACTTCGTCCAGAATCGATGTGAGTTCTTGAATGTTTTCCAGATCCGAGACTAACCTTTACGAATCGGGACCTAATGTTTGAATACGATCATCTAGGAAAGCTGACTTCGTGAAGAAACTTGGCAGAAATTCGGGAATTGTTCGAGACGGTGAGCAAACTTCTGTGGCTCAAATCTCATTCTATGTTGAGACTAAAATCACGAAAAAAAAAAAAACCAAGACGTAGCCCTCAACACGATCTAGAACTTTGCCGAATGAACCATATCGATCAGAGCTTCAGATCAAAAGATATGAAAATCAGAAAATGATGGATTGGAAAAGGGCTACGGATTGCAAGAGATAGAGAGAAAAGAAAAAGAAAAAAAAAAAAAGGGCAGCGGGCGGCGGAGATCAGCTTGGTAGGCGGCGACACACATTGAGCGTCGGCTGGAGCGACGTAGCTCCAAAAGAACGATGACGCGTGTCCCAATAGAAACCAGGCCGAACGGCAGCGAATCGGATCGCTGGCCGAACGGACCCGACCCATGACTGGACCGAACCGAATCGGACCTCTAGCATCCTTTCCCGTGCATGGCTAGCACGTGAGGGCACGTGTGAGGCTTGTTTTTCGTCCATTTACCTTATGTTTGTCTCGATTCCTATTTTAATAATAGTTTTATGTGAATAGGGGTCTAATCAAGGATAATCAGTATTTTTGGACACCTTACGAGCATGGAGACGCTAACGAAAGGGCACGCGTCAACCAGGTAGGTCACCACACGAAACTTAGGAAGAAATATTTGTAGGCTAGATTAGTTTCCTTATGTGATTGGACTTTTCTATGGTGTGAGTTTAGGTTGCAAAGTACATGCTATATGACCCGTTATATATGCTTCCATGATAAGTTAAACATGTTTTATGCTTCAGCTTAGTGTGTAATTGTTCATGCATGCTGAAAGGAGGATGGGTAAATTGTAAACTCTGCGTTCCAGGTGTTGATGGACGTTATCACCTCGTTGAGCATAATTGTCTATTTTTGCATAAACTGTATAATGTATCTGATTCTTGATGTTTGCTCCCTCTTGATAATGTTTAGGAAAGTTATAATGTTTAGTAAACGTCTTAGGAATGAGCCTCGGGATCTAGGATTATAGTGACCGGTCACTGAGCCTAGATCGATCCCTGCCCTAGGAGCTTAGCAGATCACCACGATAAATGTAGTACCTTAGGGATGTTTTTAAGCTGCTAGTTGTTTGAACAATGTCTATAGTTTCGTGGGAGGACCAGAGGTCCCGATCAGTTTTTATTGATCCTAGCCGTTTCGCATGGGAAATGTGTCCCCACGTAGTATAGCCCATTAGCTGCGTGGGAACGGTTTGGGTCGCGCCCCCCCTAGGGGGACTATTATGGGCTTAGGAGGTACTTAGCACACCCCTAGACAAGATACCATGTAGTCTCAGTTAGCCATGTAGAGGTAGCGCCTCGTAGAGAGATACCAGTCAGTCCATCTTACCATAAAGAACTCTTAGGCACTAAATGAGTGGACGGAGAACAATAGAGGTCCCAAGGGTCTAAGATTAGAACCAGACGTCCTAGAGCCAATGAGAAACTCGTGATTGACTGTTAAGCTTAGGATACAATGAATGCTTGGTTCCTAGGTCCTATGTCAGCTAGGTAATAGGTCCTACGTCCTAGAGCCAAGGGGCTAGGATGCGATGACGGTTAAGCTCAGACACAGAAACTTAAGAATGCTAGGTAATACTCTAATTGTTAAGGATAGTTGACTCTTCATTAGAAGACAAATATCTAGATATTTGCTTTACATTATGGTTTACCATATTTGCCCTTTTATTAAACGTAAATATATTGTATTCATTTATTATTCTTTCCTTTTATTGTTATTTTCATATTATTTGTAATTTACCATATTTCTGTATTATGTAAATGATTATAAATAAGAGAACTCTCACCACCATTTAGGTGTGGTGGATTCATCAAACATTTACATGGTATCAGAGCCTTTTCGGTTGAACAACCCTGATCCTCTCTTCTCTATGGCTTCTGAATCTTCTTATCATCTTCTTCCTTTCAATACTCTAATCCATATGATCACCATCAAACTTTCTTCCTCCAATTATCTTCTTTGGAAAAGCCAACTTCTCCCTCTCCTTGAGAGTCAAGACATGCTGAGCTATGTTGATAGAACTATGGTTCCACCACCTCGCTTTGAACCAGAAACCTCCTCAACACTCAACCCCAAATATTAGGCGTGGAGAGCAGCCGATCAACGACTTCTCTGTCTCCTGCTCTCCTCTCTCACTAAGGAAACCATGGCTGTTGTCGTTGCTCTCTCTACTGCATGTGATGTTTGGCTTGCGTTGGAAACTACGTTCAGCCATCAGTCGAAATCTCATGAACTGAGACTCAAGAATGACTTGTAGTTGATGAAACGTGGCACCAAACCTGTTGCTGAGTATGCCCGCGCCTTCAAAAAAATTTGTGACCAACTTCATACCATTGGCAGACCCGTCGAGGACATTGATAAAGTGCACTGGTTTCTTCGTGGACTCGGCACCGAATCTTCTACTTTTTCTACTGCTCAGATGGCTCTCACCCCTATCCTCTGTTTTGCAGATTTAGTCTCTAAAGCTGAAAGTTTTGAGTTGTTCCAGCGCTCCCTTGAGTCCTCTGACTCCACTCCTATAGCATTCACAACCACTAATTGTGGTCGCACCCATGGAAGCCACCCTGCTTCCTTTAGCAACCAGCGAGGTCGTTCTTATTCTCACAAAAACAACTCTTCCAATCGAGAACGAACCCACTCAGGTCAGGGTCGTCGACCACCTCACTGTCAAATATGCCGCAAAGAGGGCCATTATGCTGACCACTGCAACCAACGGTATGTTCGACCTGATTCTTCTCATGCTCACCTTATTGAAGCCTTTAACACGTCATGTTCTATTGTTGGACCCGATGCTGCTAATTGGTTTCTGGACACTGGGGCTTCGGCCCATGTGACTGTCGACCCATCTATTTTGGATCAGTCTAAAAATTACACGGGTAAGGACTTTGTGATCGTAGGAAACGGTGCATCCCTACCCATTACCCACACTGGTACTCTTTCTCCTATTCCAAATATGCACTTATTAAATGTCTTGGTTGTCCCTCGCCTCACTAAAAATCTTCTTTCCATAAGTTAATTAACGTCTGAATTTCCTCTCTCCGTTACATTTACTAATAATCTTATTACTATACAGAATCATCAAATAGGAAGGGTGGTGGCAATCGGTAAAAGAGATGGAGGGCTATATGTGTTGGAGCGCGGCAACTCTGCTTTTATTTCAGTTCTTAGAAACAAATCTTTACGTGCTTCATATGATTTATGGCATGCTCGTCTGGGTCATGTAAATCATTCTGTTATTTCTTTTTTAAATAGAAAAGATCATCTTTCGCTTACGTCTTTATTGCCTTCTCTATCATTATGTAATACTTGTCAGCTTGCGAAAAGTCATCGATTGCCTTATTTCGCAATAAACGTAGGTCGCGTTATGTGTTAGATCTTATTCATTGTGATATTTGGGGCACTTCTTCCATCAAATCAAATTCGGGTTTTCTTTATTATGTTATTTTTATTGATGTTATTCTCGATTCACTTGGCTTTACCCTTTAAAATTTAAATCGGATTTTTTTGATATTTTTCTTCAATTTCAAAAATTTGTGGAAAATCAATATTCTTCTCGTATCAAGGTATTTCAAAGGGATGGTGGTATCAAATTTACTAGTACTTGTTTCAAAACTCATTTACATAATTCTAGCATCCACCATCAACTCTCTTGTCCATATACACCTGCTCAAAATGGTCGTGCTGAGAGAAAACATCGTCTTGTGATTGAGACTGGTTTGGCCCTTCTCTTTCACTCTCATCTTTCTCTTTGTTTTTGGGTTGACGCCTTCAGCACTACAGCTTATATTATCAACCGGTTGCCTACTCCATTTCTTAAAGGTAAGTCACCATTTGAACTTCTTTATGGCTGCACTCCACATTATGACAATTTTCATCCCTTTGGTTGTCATGTTTATCCTTATTTGCATGATTATATGCCTAACAAGCTTTCTCCCCACAGCATTCCTTGTATTTTTTGGGTTATAGTCCTGCTCATAAAGGGTTCCGCTGTCTTGATCCCGCCACCACTAAGCTATATATCACCCGCCATGCTCAATTTGATGAAACTCACTTTCCTACTATCCCTAGCTCCCACACCCAACCTCTTTCCTCTATTTCTATTTCAAATTTCTTGGAACCACATCTTTATCATATTGATTCATCCCCCTACAACTTCATCACCGCACATTCTTCGATCCAGTTCATCCCCGTGTGATATTTGTTCTGACCTTGTGGATGAGTCTGTGCAGGTTGATACTTCTCTTGCAGGTTCCACTTCATCACCCTCGACTTCTAATTCGACCTCTATTGAACCTACTGTTGATTCCTCTTCTTTGGGCACTCATATGATCACACGAGCCAAAGCTGGTATATTCAAGACTCGTCATCCAGCAAATCTTGGTATTTTGGGCTCATCTGGACTTCTTTCTGCTTTTCTTGCATCCATTGAGCCAAAAGAATTCAAATCTGCTGCTAAGAATCCTACATGGGTGGCTGCCATGGATGAAGAAATTCGAGCGTTACAACAAAATGATACTTGGACTTTGGTTCCTCGCCCTGCCAACACAAACATCGTGGGCTCTAAATGGGTGTTTCGTATTAAATATTTGCCTGNTGTTGCTGAGTATGCCCGCGCCTTCAAAAAAATTTGTGACCAACTTCATACCATTGGCAGACCCGTCGAGGACATTGATAAAGTGCACTGGTTTCTTCGTGGACTCGGCACCGAATCTTCTACTTTTTCTACTGCTCAGATGGCTCTCACCCCTATCCTCTGTTTTGCAGATTTAGTCTCTAAAGCTGAAAGTTTTGAGTTGTTCCAGCGCTCCCTTGAGTCCTCTGACTCCACTCCTATAGCATTCACAACCACTAATTGTGGTCGCACCCATGGAAGCCACCCTGCTTCCTTTAGCAACCAGCGAGGTCGTTCTTATTCTCACAAAAACAACTCTTCCAATCGAGAACGAACCCACTCAGGTCAGGGTCGTCGACCACCTCACTGTCAAATATGCCGCAAAGAGGGCCATTATGCTGACCACTGCAACCAACGGTATGTTCGACCTGATTCTTCTCATGCTCACCTTATTGAAGCCTTTAACACGTCATGTTCTATTGTTGGACCCGATGCTGCTAATTGGTTTCTGGACACTGGGGCTTCGGCCCATGTGACTGTCGACCCATCTATTTTGGATCAGTCTAAAAATTACACGGGTA